CTGAGAGCTACCATCAGAGCCTGTTTTCTGTTGCTATAGCAAAATACTTGGTACTTTATAAAGAAGAGCAGTTTCATTGGTTATGGTTCTTGAGACTAGGAAGTCCAAGAGGGTGTGCCAACTAGTATCTTGCTGCATCATAGCAGGGCAGGGGACATCATATACTGAGACAAAAGGTTTGCTAGCTTGAGTTTCTCTCCTCTTATAAAGCCACAAATACCACTCACTGTAGGGGCCCTACAACTCCTGTAGCCCTAATTATCTCCCAATGGCCCCATGACCAACTATCATCAACACATGAATTTATTAATTCAGTTTTCATGAATTCTGGGTGAGGGGGGGAGAGACACACAAGCCTCAGCATCCACTTATATCATCTATACAAATACTTACTTCCAACTCAGTTTTCTTACCTGTATAATAACAATATTTTTAACAACCTCCACGTCCCGGCTTGGTATCCAAAACAGTTAATTTTTATTAAGGGCTTGCAATTCTGAGCAAACTGAAAGCATTCATAGAAATTTGTGAGACACAGGGAAAACATAAAACATTCCAGGTTTCCTCTGAACAAAGCTGTGAAGTCAAAACTTTGTTCCACCTTCCCTCAGCAGTTTTCGATATGCTTCTATCCCACTCCCTCTAGACCTCAAATGCATGCAACTTTGCCTCACGTAACTCAAATGCTCCCTGAAAAACACCACACCCAGGCTATCCTCCCCCATCCCAGATGCTGTTCCAGAATCTTTGCCAAATTAACATATAGTATGCTTCATTCAACACTGTCTGAAAAGTGTGATCCTCTCCAATCCACAGCAATGACTGGACTTTTCTCAGGCACCTTACATCTCGCCTCCTAACAAAGCCTTCTGAGACCTGCATTATGGCCTAGTGAGGAGATACAAAAGATCAAGATTCCCTTTGGTGCTGTTTCTTGCCAACTGTGGGTATTTTCTCTCAGAACGACCTTACCATTCTCGATAACAACAGCTTGGCTTCATTTAGAAGCTGCCAATTGAAAAAAAAATTGCTTCTTCATGTCCAAATGACAGACAAAAAAAATGGAACAACTTAGAAGAATATGTTGTTACTCTTCTGTTGGGTTTTAATTTCTCCAAGGAATAGCCAGGAAACTGCTGCGTGTAACCCATGCTTCTCTATGTTGAAAAGCTTTCTATTTCTCAATGCTCTGTAAGCATAGGAAACATTCCCCCCTCAGCCCTCCCTCTAAAGTCCCCTGATTGATTCCAGGAGCAACCACATGGCCTGCATGCATTTTGTGTGTTATTGCACCCATTCATGTGAGTATGTACACATGGAACTGTACTGCCTTCCTTCTTTCTGGTGCTGTAAAATATTTCCCATTTACAGCTTTTCTTTTAAGATTATTCTGATGACCCAATCAATATGCAAAACCTATGTGACCCTGCTGGCCTTTGGATCACAAGAAAGTTCAGTAAAATATCAGAGACGAGTCTTTGTTGAGCCATGCCAGGTTTTATTGATTGTATAATATATAGGCATCATAGAAATGAAGTGATCCATAGTCTATGACAGTCAGAAGAGCAGCAACACATGGAATATGCTGTCGCCCCTCAGGACGTTTCATTTAATCTGCACTGGACTTTAGAACTTGATAATGGGTGAATTATGATAGATAGAAGTGAGTCTCTGTCCTTAGGAAAATACAGGATAGTGACTAACCCCCGAGGTACAAGCCCTTTTCCTTCTCTTCCCCTAAAGGCATCTGGCCTCTCGGGTATGTCTTACACCATGGAACATTTAGGGTTTGGCACTCCCCTCTGCATACAGATATTTTAGGAATATTCTGGTGCTTATGAGCACCTATATTTTTGGTTGTAAGCCCAGCCTTTAATGGTTGAGCCATCTCTCCAGCCCATGAGCACTCTCCAAAGCCCAGCGCACACTCTACCTATGAATCAAGGAATAGCCCTCATCATTACAAAATCACAAAGAATGAGTAGCAACTTCAAGACTGGTCTTAAAGGTGCATCATCTGATGTAAGCCTGTGCCAGTCAATGGCTAAGACCCTCCAAGGAATAAATAATTGCTCACACAGAGAAAGCATCCCAACATGAGCAGAGTAAGTTTAGACCAAAGGATAGCTCAAGACATCCAATACAGAGCTTTCTCCTTCCTTTAATCTCTGTACAGGAAGAACATTTTGAAATACTTGCTAAACCAATAGACGGGATTCCTTATGGACATTTTAAATGTGTATATGTATCACCAGTTGTTCTTTAAAAAACACTAAATACTTAAAGTCCCAGAGGAGCTAGCTTCCCAGAAATGAGTTCACTGGATAAGAGCCATCACGTAGTACCTCTGCACTGAGCCCTGTCTGGAACTGCCCCATAATTTATTCTGGCAGAAACTCATGGCTAGCCTTGGCTCCACTCACAACACTGCCATGCAAACTTCAACAACATCCAACAACGTCCATCTCTCTGCTCTGCAAACCCTAGTTCTCATGCTTTCACGTTCCTCATCACTGGAAAGACAAGTACCGAATAGAACATGGGCTGTTCAACCTGTGTGGAGAAAACTCAAGTCAGGCTTCTGTACAATGGCTAAGGGTAAGATTGCCCTTACCCTGAACTGCAGCCTATGCCAAGTCTATTTGAGAGATATGATTTAAAAAAAAAAAAATCTGAGATATCGTGACAGTTCCCCCTGGCAGCCAGTACCACCAGCCAACCTTGTAAAGCAGTTGCCTTGAGTGTTTCAGTAAAATGAGCCTCCCATTTGCAGTGGCCTCTGTCAGTCAATAACACAAGGCAGAGCTACTCAGCTAATTCTATCAACTCACAGAACTTCAAAAGGAAATAGCCAGTTATTCATGTACTCTGCGACTGGCTTGTTGTACTGTTCTATGGAACAATAGGTTAGCAAATCATGGAAAAACGCAGACTTTTTTAAAGAGTGGATTGGGCATTATGAATATATTTTTTCTAACAAGGTTTCTCAAACATAGGTTAATGTGATTTTTTCCATCCTGAGTGAGGTAACCAAGACCCAGAAAGACAAACATGGTATGTTCTCACTTATAAGTGAGTACTTTCTGTACAATGAAAGATAATCAAGCCACCATCCACAGACCCAGACAGGCTAAGTAACAAGCTGGGCTTAAGTGGGGACAGAAGGATCTCCCTGAAAAGGGGAAACAGAATAGATTTCATGGGTCAAAAGGGGGGGCGGGGTTGGGAATAGGAGGAATCAAATTCGGTGGGGAGAAAATACAGGGAGAAACTACTAAAAATGGGAGGTGGGATTAAGGGACTGTGGCGGAATCCTAGTACAATAGAAACTTTGTGAAATCTACTAAAGTAACCCTAGCAAAGACTCCAAGTAATGGGGGATACAGAGCCTGAACCGGCCATCTTCTGGAACCAGGCAAAGCCTCAAGTGGAAGGATTGGGACACCAACCCAGCTACAAAACCTTTACCCTATAGTTTGTCCTGTCTACAGTGTATTCTGGGAACAGAGCCTGCCATAATTGTCATCAAAGATACCAGAGAAATGTCATCTAGTAACTGATGAGAGCAGATACAGAATCCCACAGCCAAATAGGCAGAGTTTAGGGAGCCTTGCAGAGGAGGGGGAGGAGGGATCAGAGGAACTACAGGGGTCAGGGACACCAGGAGAACATGGCCCACTGAATCAATTGACCAGAACTCATGGGGCTCTCAAAGATCAGAGAGCCTATAGGGATCTGACCTAGGCCCTCTGTATATATGTTATGGAGGAATAGCTTGATATTCTTGTGGGATTCCTAACAGTAGAAGCAGGAGCAGGGGTGGTCGCTGACTCTTTTGCCTATTCATGGAACCCTTTTCCTCCTACTGGCTTCCTCATCCAGCCTTGATGTGATGCCTGGTCTTATAACAGCATCTTATGCCATGTTTCATTGATGTCCCTAAGCAGCTTGCTCTTTTATGAAAGGAGATGAAGGAAGGGTGGATAGGGGGAGAAGCTGGGGGAGGAAGAAAGGGGAACCTGCTCTCAGGATGTAATATATGAGAGAAGAATAAAAAAAAAATAAAAAGAATTTTTAAAAAGTTAATATGTGATTTTTCAAGTATGTCTACATATCACTTGAATGTTGAGGTGAAACACTAAGATAGATACAGAGGCCTTTTATGAACTATACATGCAATATCTGCCAGAAATTCTTAATATTTAACCAAAAGTCCTTCTTTTCACATCCTTACAATAAAATAAACTAGGCATTTATTCTATGAATTCAAAAACAAATTTTCAAAATACATACAAAGGAAAATACAACATGGAAAAATTTCCAATGAAATATAAAACTTTTAATGTTGTGGCTGAAATGATGGCTCAACAGCTAAGATCACTGGTTGTTCTTCCAGAGCACTGGGGCTTGGTTCCCCATACCTACCAGGCAGTTCACAACTATCTAACTCCAGTTCCCAAGTATCTAATGTTTATTTCTGTCCTCCAAATACACTGCATGAACATGGTGTATAGATATGCATGCAAGCAAAACAGTAATATACCTAAAAATGAACAAGTAAATAAATAAAATCTTTTTAAATTTTAATAGCTGAAAATTACTGAAATTTCATGGTTAACTCCATATTCTTCTCTCCACAATACTGCCTGCCCACTTCCATTGTGAATATATGCCCTAAGGATCCATCAGTGACTATGCTGGCCTTAAAAGAAATCATTCTCTGCATAGACTCACACCTGTATAATGATCTGTTAACAAAGCCTGTATTCTTGAATGAGTGTATAAATCATGGGTCAAGGGTGAGGAAGAAGGATTTCCATATGCTTGAGGCCAACATTTGCTACATAATATGTTTTAGGCCAGCCTGAGCTACACGGCAAGCCCTTGTCTCAAAACAAACAAACAGGGAAACTTGACATATTAATAAGTACATTTACAGAGCCAATCCATTGCTATTTGGGAGGTTATCACACACTTTAGGATTCTTGCATCTCCGCGAAATCCTCTTAGCCTCTGGGAAACAGCCACAGTTGTTCTGAGTCAGTCTCTCTTAACAACAATGTACAAGGCTACCAACTTTGAACCAGTGCAGTTATTTTCTCTCTGTAATCCACATCATTGGCCGGTTTGCATCCTTGACTGTCCCATCCACATGTTCGAAGACCATTTAACTAATGTTAGCCATGGCAGAGCCAGATAAGGTCTAAGTCATCCCTGATTCCAAGAAGGAGTTCTGGCCGGAGGTTTTCATCCACCCATCAGATGAATTGGAAGAGTCATGAAGAACGCTGTCACTTTCCACAAGCAGAATGGCCAGCATCCTGAGCTCATTGGTCACATCAAGTAAACTAAGGCAGCTGCCTAATCCTTCTTCAGCTAAACTGGGCTTTGCCGAACCAGCCGGAATCCTAAACATCAAGATATTGCCTCATAGATTGATTCCTACAAAAGAAATGAGCCAGATGTTTGCCTCAGTCATCTCCAGGAAGCGACATCAAAACAAGGCACAACTATTCCAACTGCGGAGCAAACCCCACCTTCAAACATCAGAAATACTTCAATCCCTGATGGTGGCTTGAGCTAGAACTTTAAACTCAGTCTCTGAACAAAGTTGGTATTTTGATTTTTCTCAAAATTAGTACTATTTGAATATTTGTTCAACTTTTTATAGCAATATAGAGGTAATGCTTTTCCATTCTCTAAAAGAATGCATATTGATGGTATTGTCTCAATGAGAAAGTTCATTAGGAATGAGATGAAACCTTTTGGTAAGTGTATGTTAAAAGTAAACTGTATTCTTGGTCAGCCGCACTATTGTTTTAACTGAAAGAAAATTATAACTATTCATTGTGTCCATTTCATCAAGGAATTAAGATTCAGTAATAAAAATCTGTCACTTATCACCTTCTGTAACAGATAGGATTCCATTTGGTTGAATGATTCAATTATATTACAGTAGCTTTTCAGAAATAATTTAATGGAGAGGCTATTTGCAAAGTGTGGCTTAAATGGCTAATCTTGATTGATCTCAATGTCACATGTCACTTACATTCTCAGTCCTGCCCTCTCCCCAGAGGTTAACTGCTTAGACAGCAACCAAGCTCTTCCACTCTTTGGCTTAGAATATCTCACTGGGTATTCACCACCCCCACTTGTTTAGCTGTAGGTCTTGCGGTGACCTTGCTTTAAAGTCACACACCATGTAAGGCCACTTCCCTTCCATAGTTCCAGCACCTGACAGCTCCATTGGACACTATTTCCTTACTTAGACCTTTAAACTTCCCACCATTTCTAGTTCCTGAAGGTCTCGTGCTACTTTCAATGATAGCTAAATATAGGTACCAGCAAACTACCCAGGCCAAAAGACATTGAGACACTTTAATGAAACATGATTTGGAATGCATCTATGAAGATGCTTCTGGAAGAAACTAACATTCAAATCACAGAACGAGCAAAGCAAACAATGTCCAGGATGTGGGTGGGTCTCCACAAAAGACGAACTTCCCCACTCCCAAGAAGGAAAAAATTTTCCTGTGTGAGAGCCTTCAAATTAAGATGTCAGATTTACTTAATCCCACAGCAGGGACTAGGACATCAATGAGGCAAATTTTGGATTTTCCAAACTCTGCAATTCTGTGGGTCAACTTCAAAAAATAAACAATTTTAGAAATCTTCTATTGACTGTATTTCTCTGTAAAAAACCCTGAATATCCTTCGGGTATACCCTCATGTCTTCCAGACCCCTGTGTGATATCAGTTTTGCTTGCTGTGGCTTCTTTCACTCCACATTCCCCATAGACAATGAAGCCGGGTTCCTGCTTCTGTATCCATATTTTGCCATTCTTTGCATGTGACTTTTAACATCATGCTTCCAAAATACACCAGACTGATAAAAAGGAAGAGGATCAGGACTGAAGAGATGACTTAGCAAATAAGACACGTGCTACTCTTGCAGAGGACCTGGGTTCAGTACCTAGCACCCACATGATGGTTCTCAAGTGTCTGTAACTTAAATTGAAGGGCATCTGATGCCCTCTTCTGGCCATCACAGGTACTGCATTCACTGTAGCACACAGGTACGTGTCCCGAAAAACTCATATACATAAAATAAAAGAAACAAATCCTCTTAAAGAAGGCAGAGGAGATGATCAAAAACTTCCTCCTGAAGAAATCCTAAATTGGAGATATCCATCAGTTCCTCCCCCTTGGAGGTTGAGGAACCCCATGAAAGTTGTGGATGAAGAATTGTAGGAGCCAGAGGCACCAAGGACATCAGGAGAATATGGCCCACAGACATCAACTAAGCAGGGCTCATAGGAGTTTACAGAGACTGAAGCACCATTCACAGAATCTGCACACATCTGCACTAAGTCCTCTGCATATATGCTATGGCTGTTGGCTTGGTGTTTTTGTGAGACCCCTAACAGTGGGAGTGGAGGTGTCTCTGACTCTTTCATCTGCTCTTGGGACCCTTTTCCTCCTACTGGGTTGTCTTGCTCAGCCTTGATATGAGGGTTTGTGACTAGTCTTATTGTATCTTATTATGCCATATTCGGTGGCTATCCCTGGGAGGCCTGCTCTTTTATGAAGAGAAAACAGAGGAGGAATGGATCTGGGAGAGAGGAGAGATGGGAGAGGGACTGGGAAAAATGGAGAAAGGGGAAACTGTGGTCGGGAAATATTGAAAGTAAAATAATAAATTTTTAAAAAAATCCTGCTAGCAAATTTTAATTTAGAAATGTACTTCTCAATATACTTTAGCTCACTTCCTACTGGCCAAAATCATACCCATATCGCTAATATATGCAAATGAGCTGGAGATGTTAAAGAAATTTGATTTCCAATCTTGATGCTAAAATGATATTGTAAACGTCATTGCCTGTTTCACATGTTCCTTTTGGACCTCAATTCCATTTCTCTTCACACCTCACACACTTGCTCTCACACCTCTTTGTACATATTTACCTGAAACATGGCAGAGAATTGTAGATGGAGATTTGTAAACTGAGAATGCTCATTTGTTTCCCAGCCACCCAGACCTGAATAATCACACCGAAACTATATTAATTACAACACTGTTTGGCCAATGACTCAAGTGCATTTCTGGCTAACTCTTATATCTTAACCCATTTCTATTATTTTGTATTTTACCATGAGGCTCGTGGTTTGTTACCTCTTGCTTTTTGGACAGATTCATGGTGTTTGCCTCTTTTGGCAGCCACATAGTGTCTCTCTGACTCTGCCTTCTCTCTCTCTCTCTCTCTCTCTCTCTCTCTCTCTCTCTCTCTCTCCATATATATATATATACCAGTCTGTTTATATTCTGCCCTTATAGACAGAGATCGTTTGTTCTGACCCAAAATATTCACACAGAATTTGTATTAATTACAGCACTGTTTGGCCAATGACTCTAGCATATTTCTACCAAGAAGCTCTGATATCTTAAATTAACCAATTACTATTATTTAATATTTTGCCACATGGCTTGTGGCCTACAGGCAAAGTTCCAGCTGGTGGCTCACATCTTTCTATTCTGGCAATTACATGGTTTCACTCTGACTATACCCACTCTTTTTATATATTTTTTCCAGTCTGGCTATATTCTGGTAAGTCATTGGCTGAAAACAGCTTTTTTATCAATCAATGGCAATAAAACATATTTACAGAATACAGAGGAGAATCCCACATCACCTTCCTTTATCTGTCCAAATAAAAAGGAAGGTTTTAACTTTAACATAGTAAAATTACATATAACAAAATAGGTATCAAACAAGAATTACACTTACAATATTTATATCTACTTTATCTTTCATGACTAAGGAAAACTATAATTGTAACTATTTATTCTTCAATTCCATCAAAGACTCAAGAAGGATATAATATTACCTAAGTAAACAGAAAATGCATTGTAAGGTGGTGTGAGAAGTCCCTCTGTATATGTGTTGCTTTTATTGGATAATAAATAAAGAAGTTGTTTTGATTTGTGATAGGGCAGAATAGAGCTAGTAGGGAAAACTAAACTGAATGCTAAGAGAAAGAAGGCAGAGTCAGGGAGAAGCCTTGTAGCCCTGCCAGAGATAGAACTTTACCCAGTAAGTCACAGCCATATGGTGATACACAGATTAATGGAGATGGATTACTTTAGGATATAAAAGATAGCCTGAAATAAGCTTAAGCTACTGGCCAAACAGTATTGCAAATAATATAGATTCTGAGTGATTATTTTATGGTCTGGCTATCCAGGAACAAATGAGCAGCCTCATCTAACAGTAAGCAACTTCCTAAACTCTAGAGTTGACAGAGATATCTCACTGCCAGGACAGTCACCCAAAGTTCTTCTGTAACATTGGGGCACCCATCTTCAGCCTACAGGTCCATAGTATCCAGCAGACTTTTCTACAAAGCAGGAAATCTCAAAGACATGTCTGCCAATATTGGCAGTTTGTCAGTCACTTTCTTCTGTGTCCTGCAGAATGTCTGGCAGACACTTTCATAAAGCAGGACCCCCAAAGGGTCATTTCACCTTTAAGCAAGTTCAGCAGTCATTTTTCTGTAGGTCCTTCATGTACAGTTTATATGGCATAACATCAAGCAGTCAAGGCAAAAGCAGTTTCTTGCAAAAATGGTTAACCAACTCCATAAAAAGACTTTTCAATGCCAATCATCCTCTTGAAATACATTGGTTCTGCCAGGAGCAGATGTGTATTATTGTCATTAAAAGTCCTAAGTTTTTAAAAACACTTTAAATGCTATATTCCATAGGTCTTTGAAAGTGTTGAAAATTATCTATTCATCTGAAATATATCTCTATGTATCTAGAAAACCTAACTAACATGACTACAAGCTTGACTATTATAGATGACTATTAATAATTAAATCTGTATTTTTAATTATATATTACATTTTTAAATGAGCTGCACAATCACAGTACCTTAATCAAGATCAGAAATATACATATAACAAGATTGACCTTAAATTTATATCAATAAATCAAGATTTATACCAATGCAAATTATTCTTATCTATATCAGACATTGGCAAAGGGAAGATGGAGATGTGACTTCTATATTTTTTATTGAATAATTAATATCTCATTTAAAAAGGCATAGAGAGACATTAAATACTGTAAAATTGGGTATCAAGGTAAATTTAAGAAAGATCACTTGGAAAAGAGTAGTGAAGATAGAAACAGCAATGACATGGCTGTGACATATTATTATCCCATGTTGTTTACAGACAACTAATGATCATGAAAATTATCAGAATATAGGTGAGGGTGATACAAGAGAATAGGCAGGTATGTTGACATCATCATATAGCCCAGGTTTCTCAGGAGGAGAGGAAAGAGAAGTACAAGTTTGTGTTATGTCTGGGACACAAAGTAAATCAAGAAAAGTCAGAGTAACATAGTGTAACCTTGTTTCAAAATAATGAGAGGAATA